TTTCCCGAACATTCGAGGTCGAATATTTGAGAGGACGAGCATAGTAGATAATGTGGCAAGGGCCGTCCGTACTGCCGATTCATTCACGGATTCTCTCTCGCAATAGCCAGCTGCTACGCCGACGCACTGACGCTTCCTGCTGCCGCCGTCGATGCCCGCTGCTGCTTTCTCGACATGTGTTCTTCTTTTTTCGTTTCTGGCACAAGATCGCCCCCATTAAATGTTTAGTTCATTCCGCTTTTTTCCCCTCATCGTTGTCTGTCATTCGTAGCAATATCCAATTTGTTTTTTTTTTCATCTGAAAGCTTTTTTTTTTTGCGGTTACATTATTAACCAAACAAAATACCCCTTGCGTCTGAGCGTAAAAGCATGTATAAGAACTACAGGATACATCCATGACGTAAACGTTTTGGGAGAGGTGAAAAAAGAAAGTGATAGACAAAGACATACGGGAAAGACTAATAGATCTTATATATTAGTATACTCTCAATCATCTATAGCTTTATCGTAATTTAATTGCTTTATGCCCCCGTTGTCGTTATAGTGTCAGTCCCAGCACGCCAATAAGCTCTGTTACCATGTATATATCACCCAGCGAGTATCGTAGAATAACTTTTTACAACTCATCAAGAAGGGTTGTGCCTGTATACGTTACTAACACCATTGTAACAGATGTTTATGTTGTTGTAGATGTTTTTTTTTTGTTACACAGGTGATTACGCGTGGCATCTTGCAGGTTCATGTTCCGTGTAAAAGAATAGAACCGATGGCGATTACTGCAGAGTCCCGGTATCCAACGGTGCACACAGTCTACTGGGACCCATAAGCTCCGATGCTTTTGCAAGGTGCCTAGAAGAAAGTAACACTCGCCCAAGTTAGGAAATTGGCATGGCCTCTCGCGGGAAATCTCGAGTCGCTCGGCGAGTTCCGTTCGAGGTTTCTCGACTGGAGCTTTTCTCCCATTCAAAAGTGCAAAAAAAAAAAAGAAAGATGAGAAAAAAGAAACTTTTTACGGATACTTTTTTTCTTCTTCCTTAGAACAACTCGTAACGCCGCCGAGATTTTTTTTTTCTCGTCGGAAAGGACTGTCTTATTTGATCAGTGAAACGGCATCAGAAACTACGAACGTTTTCTTTTTTTCCCTGTACGGTTTTTTTGTTTTGCTTCGGGCACTCATCGTATCCACCAGGGCCTTTGTTTATATGTGCGATAAAATCAACGACCGTGTCTATTTTCTTTCCCCATTCCAGAAACGTGTCAAAAATAACTTTCTTGGCCAGCTTACTCTTATTTATTTATCCCCCCCCCCCCCCCCCCCCCTTTGTTATGTTTACTCGTTGCATCTTAGTCGCACCCCTAGAGTGAAGGATTCAAGATGATCTTCGTTTTGTTGTAGCCTTTAGGCCGTTTTCGGAGTTTGGTAGGATAAGAGAACCAAATAAATCCGAGATTGTCACTTCAAATAAGGCTTAGATGGATTCTTTAGAGAGGATTTCGTGAGTAAAATTGTGGAAGAATGAAAGCCGAGAACGTTCGTCTTCTTCGCCAACAATGGAAGCTTCGGTGCCGGGCACGGTGAGATTTTCTTTCGCTAGCGGGACCTAGAAAGACGGCTCTGAAAGTAATCAGGCGCTCGGACGACGAGGAAGGGGACGTTTTAATATCTGACTTTTCAGGCAGAAACGCTCCATCGGCCCTTGACACATCTTTGCGCTTGTTTAACATGCCGTCTTATTGGTAGCCATACAAGACACCTGGACGGAAAGTTCCAAGTCTAAGGAAATTTTGAAGTTCTGCGTAAAGTTCGTGGTTTGATTTATCTAAACGAAAATTCAGCTTTTAATATATCAAGGTGGTCACAGCAGACCAATGTGCTTGGGCTGGTGTTACTCCAACATCATAAAGTCAACGTTACTAGATCCCTTCAGTTGTCAAAGTCCCCCGGCGGCGGCCGTCGATGCGTGGCCCATTTTCGTTTCCGCTCGCGAGATGGCGCGGCGGCCACCGTTAGCCCGGTGCCCTGGGCTTCGGAACGCGACGCGCTGGCAGTTTGGGCAGCAAATGGAATTATTTACGAAAAAGTTAGGGCGCCAACGAGCTGGTGAAGGTTTAACATCATTTTAGAGAAGCCCCCGAGGTTGGGGAAAAGACGAAGGACAACATAGCAGACAGAGTCTCAACTCTGTGTGACACTCGGTGTGCTGTGCTGTCCTTCGTCTTTTCCCCGATTTCGGGGGTTTGTCTAAAATTATGGCTTTCTTTGCCTCGAAATTGCGTCATGCAATGCGCCTCCCATTTTTACAGTCATTAGGGACCTCTTCAGACGTTGGGGACAGGCTATAAATGAGCGGAATGAACAGGAGAAAGCAGCAGTGGCGAAGCTGCCCGGAAAGTATCACCGCCGCTCTTTGCGTACACTCGTTACTGAAAACTAAGAATAAGCAAAGCAAAGAAACTTTGTTTTCTCGGTGGCGCGAAAAGCACTTTGTGCGAGGGGCAAAGACACACAGAGTGCAATTGTTGAACACGGGTTTATAATAGACGAGCTTCCTTGATGGCGATGGCGACTTTCTCGAGAATTTGAAGGCGACGGTTGACATCCCTGGCGTAAAAATATATCCGCGTGACAATGAAAAATACAACCCTTGGCACATGAACGTGGGCTTGTGCTGATCACAACCCAGATCCAGCTCGTCCAGGACCTTCCAAAACAAGTCCCCACAGAAACCTTCCTCATCAAGAGAAAGTGAAACTGATTCACATACAATTCTCACGAAGTGTAGCCTCTTGATGCTGGGGTGCCTCAGGCTGCCTTCTTTAAAGCTCTGATATATGGTCAAGTATGCATCAGAACCGACGACAGGAGCTGCTGAACTAACGTAATACAGGCAGAATTGGCACTCTGTGCTCTTGCTCACATTGTGTGCACCATAGCCAGATAGGTAATACGCAACACTGTCGTCTGGTGAACCTCCGAAGTAGCTGTGCTCATTACTCGTTTGGTCTGGAGTAACACAAGAAAATGTCATTTCCAGTAGCCTAGCCTGAATTTCATTGCTCAAGCTAGCTTTGTTTGATCGATGAGCTTCTCCAGCGGTCTTCAATGTGTCCTCCACACTAACAAGTACAGCATTCGGCTCGCCTTGAACAGCTGCAATCGACCGCTCACCTTGTTCGTTTCGGCGCTTGCTTTTTGCCGGGGACCGTCTCCGAGTAGGCGCTTTGCGTTTTTGTGTCGGTTTAAAAAGATAGTACAATTCGGGAACAGGCGAGGCACGGTGTTGTGCTTCATTGCCCATTTGACGCACGGTATCGCAAACACATCACCACAAACGTTGTGCTCGAAGACCTTTAAGATGTCATTATCTTGGAAGTGAAGATCGCACACGGAAGACGAGCTCGAAAGCTTTTTCTCCAGCCTCGGTACTGCGCGCTTCCAGAGTTCAAGGCGTTCAGCGTCGTCGGATGGCCCGAAAAATTTTATCTTCTCTCCCGCAGATCGCAAAGAATTGTACCCGCTTTTACACCGTGGCACGAAAGAGCGTAGCATGGTTCATGCAGTTGCAGCACGATGCACAAACACCACAAACGCGGCTATGAGCACTAACATAACCAAACGGAAACACCGCCGCACACTGCTCGCAACGTGTTTCACGTGTTTCTATGCTGGGTCGGTCGTGAGATTTGGCGCCTTGCCGGGCAAACTCCGTCGCGCGCGCCCCTAAGCGGAGCGCAACAGATAGGCGTCAGGCGGAGCTCCGCAGTTTGAGAACTGAAGAGAATCTAGTAACGTTGCATAAAGTAAAGTCTTATGCGGTGCAGTTTAAAACATTTTTCTCAAAACTTTACACAATGTCTGTTGGATTACGAGTATCTTACCAACACCTCCCAGAATAACCAAGCCCCGTGCTCTCGAATTTTTACGTCATCACCATGAGATCAAACGCAGACACAAATTGGACACGACTGCGACATCAGCATTCGGCTTGACATCTTGTTCAGTCACTGCGTCCAAGGGCCCTTGAAGACGAGCTCAGGCCGTCAAAATGTGATGACTCTACGTGCTGGTTGAAAAGGCTGCCACGGGCTTTGATTATTCTTTGTGGCTTTGGCCCCACCGGTACCGGCTACATGGTCGTCTATCATATGAAACGTTTCCCACGATCAACAAAATCTGCTGGGTGTGTTTTTTTTTCTTGTGCCCTTTAATCTTTGCGATAAGAACTAATACCGACAATAGACGCCATGGGAGAACACAGCAAGTTCTCATTCGGTGGCGTTTTTCGACTTTCAGGACTCCATTTTACATTGATCGGCTTCTCTTCTGGGTCAAAAAGCAGGTTTGTTTTTGGCTGGACTTGCAAAAACAAAAATATAAATCAATTTGACTGCAAATTGTTTTAATTAGTCAAATATACTGCTCGAATATGAAGCGCTTTGCTGAGTGTGAAGCGACGGATTTTCCAGTATCTCTTCGAAGCCACCTTTATATGTTCGTGCATTTTCTTGTTGTTTTCTTTCAGTGTGTAGTATTGTAGTAATGCAACGTATTTATATTGAATAAGTATGTTTATTTGTACGTAGTTTATTTGTTGCGTAACCAGGCCTCTTAATGTGCGGATTCTTACAATTTTGATAAATTTTCTCTTCAGTATGTTACTCGTTCTGTATGTATTTTGCAATATCACTGCACATTCCTTACCTCCTATCTGCTTCCTGATCTAAAGGAGTCAGAACAAATCAGGGTACTGAATTTTCTACTGCATCGAATAGAAGTTCAATTAAAAAATAAACACTGGGTCTAGGTACATGAAGAAGGCCTTCTTAAAGGCCGAGGAGTTAAGGCAGCGCGTTCTCCTTCATTACTACTAGTTGTACATAAAGAAGGCCTTCCTAATGGTCGAGAAGTAAAGGCAGCGTGTTCTCCTTCCTCAGATAGGCCCATGGCCGGGCGACGCCGCCCCTCGTGTGACCAGTGAGCCCCTCTGCCAGGAGCGGGCATGAGTCAGGGCGGGGCGAGTCTGTACCAGGACCACATCCTGCAGGCGGTGCTGCAGGGAAACCTTACCAGCGTCCCCGAGCCGCCGTCCAGGGTGCTCAAGATACTCGTCGCCTCCACCAGGCTCGGTGAGCTAAGCGATCCGCCCGTCTCTATGTCATCCCCACCTTTCTGGGATATCAACGCCTCATTGCATGTGCTAAAAGGAAAATTTCAACTGAACAAATAGAAACATCGCAATGTTCCCTAGAAATATTTCAGATTGCAGTCATGAAATATCAGTAAGCAGTAATTAAACGTTTGGAGGCGTAAAGCTTTCAATCCACGGCTCTATAAACCTTTTTTTTTTTTCATTGAATCCGACTGGCTACATTCACAAAATTGTGAATTTCTGCTTTTCGTGACAAAAGATCATACGTTATTACACACACCACAGCGCACTATAGCAAACAACACTGACACCTTACACACGAAAAATAAGGCAAAATTCAAACAAACCGCGCTGACTGACAACTCTTTTTATATAACTTTGTCTTCTTCAACCTCTAGCACCACCAAAGTTTCCAAATCACGCGCACCGATCTCCTAGATGCCTAAAATTGTTTTCTCTTTTTCTGTCAGGTGTAAAGACGGTGTACTAATACAGTTGTTATAATTCCTGGCGATATGTTCTGCTTCGATAATTTCTCGAGTTAATTGGTTACTGTTCCTTCCTAAAATTGTACAGGGTGGCAGCTGAACGTCGCACCCACAATCCCGGCAGTGTATGCCTAGATGCGCTGAGTTGATTCCGGTGTTATTGGTTTTGTGTTCATAGAGCCTATCATTAAGGCATCGTCCGGTCTGACCTATGTACACTTTCCCGCACGAAAGGGGACATGAGTACACCACTTCATCGGCACACTCAACGAACCTGTTCTGATGATTTTTGGTGCAGCATACTGTTCGGTGGGAATCAGGCGAGTTGACTTGTTTACACAAGTTGCCAAGCTTATTGGAGCAGTGAAGACGACATTGATGTTGAACTTGTTGGCGATTTTCTTGATGCCATGGGAGAACCTGTGGAAGTAGGGAAGAACGAAAGGTCTCGTAGATCTTTCTCTGGCTCTTGGTGTGACATATGTTCCCTTATTTTTTGATTTCAAGATGCTCTCTGCAATTGATGTTAATAGCGACATGGGATATCCGGCGGATGTTAATCTGGAAATTTGCGCATCAAAGCTCATTGAAATAGAGTGCTTGCAGGATTTTTGAAGAGAGTTGTTTAGACATAATTTGACTATTCGTCTTTTTGCCAGCTTAGAATGTGCCGAATTGTACAGAAGAATTGGTTTTTTACCCCTTGGCTCATATTTCCAGCATATATAAGTGTGTTGTAAATTGAGCCTGAGATCGAGGAATCCGATTGATCTTTCTTCCGGAAGCTCATGAGTAATTTCCAGTGGTTTTAGGCAGTTTTTAAAAGTTGATAGAACACCGGCTACAGTGGTTGAAACATTACTGTTCTCGGCGTCAAGAATGATCAAATAATCGTCAACGTACCGAAACACTCCAGCAACTCTGGTGGAGTCAAGCCAATTGTTCAAGAGTCTGTCTTGGTGGGCGAGATAGAGATCACTTAGCACTGGGGCTATGCACGACCCAATGCAAACCCCTTTCTTCTGTAGATACGTTTTTTTCTTTCCAGGTAATAAAGGTCGAGTGTAGATAAACCGAGAGTAGATGTAGAAAAGTTTCTTCGGAAATACCCGCGGAATTTTGGAAGGCTATGCCACAAAAAGAATCAATACTCTCTTCTACACATCGCAAAAGGCCGTCCTGGGGCAGTTCGTAGTACAGGTCTTTTATGTCGATGGAAAAAAAAGTTCTATGTGATCATAACTCTGCTGTGACAGGAATTAGATGACCTCGTTGGAACTCTTAATTAAGAAAGGGTCGTCAGTTGTAAGAAGGTTTAACTTTTCTTTGAGAAAAAGGGCGAGTGATTTCAGCCTAGTTCCCTTTTCGGATACAATGACTCTGAAGGGGTAACCGGGTTTATGGGTTTCGGCACTGAAAAATACACTGAGGCTTAGCAACTTGTTGCGATCGATGTGGGTGCAAAGATTTTTCAGTTCATACGACTGGCACAATTGTCTAGCATATTTTTGGCCTTACTCAGAAAAACATCTTCATGACATTGGAAAACTGACCTAATCGCTGAGATGGCTTTTGTCCCGAACATATCTTGGTGCATGACAGCAAAGCCTCCTTCTTTGTCGGCAGGCAAAAGAAATAAGGAATGCTCTTGTAGATATTTAACCACCCTCCTGGTAGATATAGAAGAGGCCTGCGGTACTTGTCGTAGTAGCAGGTCAACTTATTCAGATGTAACCCGGTCGACTTCCAACTCAGGAGCACGGCGCGAGACCTGGCGGACAAACGATAGCATTTCTTGCGGTGACCTCTTTGGTTCTACAGCAAATTTGGGACCAAGACTGAGAACTCCACCAGAGTTGCTAGAGTATTTCGGTACGTTGACGATTAGTGGATCATTCTTGACGCCGAGAACAGTAATGTTCCAACCACTGTAGCCGGTGTTCTATCAACTTTTAAATACTGCCTAAAACCACTGGAAATTACTCAAGAGCTTCCGTAAGAAAGATCAATCCGATTCCTAGATCTAAGGCTCAATTTACAACACACTCATATATGCTGGAAATATGAGCCAAGGGGTAAAAAACCAATTCTTCTGTACAATTCGGCACATTCTAAACTGATAAAAAGAGGAATCGTCAAATTATGTCTAAACAACTCTCTTCAGAAATCCTGCGAGCACTCTATTTCAATAAGCTTTGATGCGCAAATTTTCAGATTAACATCCGCCGGATATCCCATGTCGTTATTAACATCGATTGCAGAGAGCATCTTGAAAACAAAAAATAAGGGAACATATCTCACACCAAGAGCCAGAGAAAGATCTACGAGACCTGTCGCTCTTCCCTACTTCCAGAAGTTCTCCCACGGTACCAAGAAAATCGCCAACAGGTTCAACATAAATGTCGTCTTCACTGCTCCCAATAAGCTTGGCAAACTTGTGTAAACAATTCAACTCGCCTGATTCCCACCGAACAGTATGCTGCACCAAAAACCATCAGAACAGGTTCGTTGAGTGTGCCGATGAAGTGGTGTACTCATTTCCCCTTCTGTGCGGGAAAGTGTACATATGTCAGACCGGACGATGCCTTAATGATAGGCTCCGTGAACACAAAACCAACAGCACCAGAGCCAACTCAGGGCATCTAGGCATACACTGCCGGGATTGTGGGTGCAACGTTCACCTGCCATCCTGTACAATTTTAGGTAGGAACAGTAACCAATTAGCTCGAGAAATTATCCAAGCAGAACATATCGCCAGGAATTATAACAACTGTATTAGTACACTGTCTTTACACCAGACAGAAAAATAGAAAAAATATTTAGGCATCTAGGAGATCGGAGCGCGTGATTTGGGAAATTTGGTGGTGCTAGAGGTTGAAGAAGACATGGTTATATAAAAAGAGTTGTCAGTCAGCGCGGTTTGTTTGAATTTTGCCTTATTTTTCGTGTGTAAGGTGTGAGTGTTGTTTGCTATAGTGCGCAGTGGTGTGTGTAATAATGTGCAACGAACTCACCCAAGCTGCTACGTTAACAAGATCACACGGTTGCCGAGAACCGTAATTCTCTGGGTATTATAAAACGAAAATCGACAAAAATTTTGATACTTTCCTTGGAAACGCTTCATTCCACAGAATTTCCCAGAAAGTATGCCTTTACCTGCAAGGAGTGTGTATGTCAATTTATATAATATCCTTTTAGGGCCCCAATAGGAGCCTTATGATGTGTGGATTGGACCGGGGGACGAATGGCAATGCGTAGAAGAAAGGCCCGTAGAGCACTTGCACAACAACAATGCCTGTACATTCCTAAGTAGGAGTTCATTGTGAATTTCTGTTTGCACGGGTCTAGCACATAAATATATACCAACTCGTCTACCTGCCTACATTACTACACAAAGATACTTTTAGGCCTTCTCATGGTGACTTAATTTTTTATCCTTTCTTTATTTTTTGTGGGTTTGAAAAAACTTGTTCTGTATATTAGTGCGAATATTGTATACATCTGCTTTGTTTTTATTAGTCGTTTGGTTAATTTTTTTTGTATCTGCTTTTTCAAGTCTAGTTCTTTTGTCTACTGATGCTTTTACTTGAAATATAAGTTGTAATGACCCCCCATTCCCTTTATGTAATGCACTAGAATGGGAATTGGATTCGATGGGGGGGGGGGGGGGGGTGAATAAGTAGCTAAACATCTGCATATTTTATATGTTGGCTCAGCTGTGGTTAGCGCGAGAACGCGACGTTGATTGCATAACAGCTACAGACTGCACAACATTAAAAAATAAAAATGAGAGTCACGCATGCGCACTATGTTGGACATAACGTTTCCCTAGCGTTTTTATTAATCTTCACACGAAACTTCATGTTAATGATTACATTTTATTCACATGTAGCATAGCTGTCTTTCTTTGTTTTCGAAAAGGGAGGGGGGGGGGGGGGGGGACATGGTACTGGTCTGAAAATATAGGGTTTTACAATGCCCCGAAAAGGACAATGCAGAACAAACTTGGCCTTATTCGTAGAGAGGTCTGGATATCTTTACCCTAATTCGCCAAACAAGTGCTAAATCTAGGCTTCACTGTCTAACAGTAAAATAATTAGGCGGTTTATCCGTGGCATTTCTGGCTCAAGTCTGGCACTTTGGCAACTATGTGGCGAACCAGAGAAGAGCCGTAGAAACGCCATAGAAAGGTACCCTGGCAAGGACTAACACGTTGAAGCAAACCCGTATTAGGGCCAAGTTAGAACCCAAGAATTTCCAAATTATGCCTACTTGGGTGTTTCTTTGGCGTGCCACCTTGTTTATAAAGCCCAGTTGCGTGTTTGGTGGCAGCTTTCCCTCTTTTGTGCTTTTTGTTCTCCTCGAAGGCGCCTGCGTATATATTTAAGCAGTCGTACAGTAGATACTGTGAAATATTACAGACAAACATTTCACAATAAAGGAATCAACCCCCTTTTTTTATGACAAAATGTAGAAAATTGCACTCTCC